TTCCTTGTCAATGTATAGAGAATCATTTTGTTCTTTTCCATAAATGCCTGGTATTCTTTGTATAGATATATCATAACTTTAAGACTTATTGGCATATATTTACAGTGTTTTCAATGTTTTGATATTTTAAACAATGCTACCAAAAACATCCCTGTGTATTTTTGCACACTTACATGAATATTTTGACAAGAAAAATGTACCATTTAAAATAAATTGGTTTCCTTTTAGCAAATTAATGTCAAGTATTTGTCTGTGCCTACTTTATAGAAATTCATGCATATATTTGCTATTACTCTATATAATTTACTGACATTATTTAGCAATATGATAAATTGATATTAGAATAATATATTTGGTATAGTTCTTGATCATATACAACCACCCAAAATAAGATTGCATTTATAGTTTTATATCAATTTACTTTCAGTTGCAGTTGATGGGCACCCACTGCAGTGAAAATCAGGCACTATCCTAACAGGTTTCGAAAGCACTCAGAATTCATAGTAGTAACTCAATGAGTACTTGGATAACCAGAGAAGGCTTCTTGGAAGAGTTGGAACTTCAATCCTACATAAGTAGGATTTGGATAGAGGGGGTAGCCAAGTATGTGAACCTGGAGAAGTCAGGACCAAGAGCAGAGATGGGCCAATGGAGAAGTATACTTTGAGAGTCATGAGAAAGGGATCAGAGAGGCAAAGTAAGCCTTTGAAAAACAGATCAGATGATCTAGATTTGGTACAGAAATAGGAAATCAGGACCAATGGGCAGTTTGGGAGAGTATTTAACAAAGCTAGCAGTTATATGAAGAAGGGCTCAAAGAGGATAGACAAAGAGGTATTAGACCAGTAGTAGATCTAGAGTCTACACTGGAGTAGTAACCCCACAGATAAAAAGGGATAGTGAAGTGACTATTCTATAGAAAGAACCAACGTGGTTCACAATAAGGACTCCTGCTACTGAGAGTTTACTTTGTGCCCAGCGCTGTGCTAAATGTTCTAGTTACATAGTCTTATTGAATCCTCATGATGACCCTTTGAGTCTACATGATAACTAACTTAATAGACGAGATATGCTGGAGCTCAGAGAAGTTAAGTGACATGCCCAAGGTCACAGAGATTACAAATTACAGAGTGGAGATCCTAACCCATGTCCAATTCCAAGGCCAGGAACCAGAGCTGAAATGTAGAGTTATATCACAAACATTATGAAGATTCTATTTTGGATTAGCTCATAGTTTCAAAAGGAGATGGCCCTTCTTTTTTCACCGTGTTTATCTCCTTCTATGGAAAACTATAAGAAGGTAGTTTCCTTAAAAAAATGACTGAGATCAGATTACACCTGGGATAGTTCCACCAGGCTTATGGCATTCTTGAGAAATAAAATAACCTAAATTTTAATGCAAGTTTTGTCAATTCCGTGAGTTACCTCACACGATGTCAAGTTCTTGAAACCTCACTTTTCTTATTTACAATGAGGTACAGTAGATGATATGACAGATGCTCCTAGTTCCTAAATACCATGGTGCTTCTTATTTTTTGTATTTTTGTTGTCAAATGATGTTGATTAGATGTCTGCCCTAACAAAATCTAAATCTTATTTGGCCCCCAGGACTATATATAACCTCTTATAATTCCACTATACATTTATTCATTATATTTCTTGAGTACTTGCTGTGTATCTAAATACTTGTCTAAATGCTTGTCTAAACACTTGTCTAAATGCTCTAGATATAGCAAGGAACAAAATACCTTTTAGTAGAATAATGAGAGCTAACTTTTACAGTGTGTCCTTTGTTCTTATGTGTGATTTACGTATTAACTCATTTTAATCTTTACACCAACATTATGAGGTATTTCTTTATGAGACCGAGGCATATTGAGAGTAAGTAACTTGTCAGAAGCAGGTCTTTCTCAGGCTTTTTGCATTGCTGCACTTTGCCCCTCAGAGTCACCTTGGCCACTATCTGGATGGAAATGTTAAAGTAGCTCCATCCTAAGTCTGTTTCCCCTGCTTGCCCAGTATCCAGCTCTAAGGACAATACTCTAGCATGACTTACCGACAAAGAAATGCCGACCTGGACATGTTTACAAAATGTCTTTCACCATAGAAACTGGCCACTTTGACGGGCATGTTTTAGCAGGAAACAAAGTGGCTTGCTTTCCAAAGTGCTCACTCTTGCATCTCATAACCAAAGGAGAAGAGCAGCATCTTTTTTTTTTTTTTTTATTGGCCCATAACATTTCAGTTATGTGAGTGTGGCACAAAATGACAGCTGTTAACACAGCAGGCTACCTCTTGGCATTCCAGTGATGGCTATATTAGTGCCACCACAGGCGCAGGCCTGTCATAGCCTTTCGTGAATCAAAGTGCCACTAATTTTCCCCTTATAAAGACCACAAGATGGTATCCAGGCTGTGCCTTTCAATTTACATTGTTCTGCTATATAACAGCAAGATCATGAATTTTAAATGCCTACTGCGATTTGGTCCTATAACTGCACCTTGGGCCCAATGCCATTACTGAGAGGATGGTGCAAAGTAAGTATAATAGTATTTTTACAGTGAAATCTGCTTACAATAAATTCTGAGGACTGAGGATAAATTCTGTTGAGGATCCTCATTAAATACTAATTACCCCTCCTCCCTCTATGCTCTCACCTCACTCATACACATTATATAAGCCTTATCTTACAGGACTCAGCATAAGACAAAAAGGAGTGTCTTACTGTTTTGTGTAGATGCTAGTAATAAAGGGGACAGATAGTGAAGATAAGATAGAGGATAAAGATAGAAGAAAGAATTAGAGGCCCGTTGATTGTGGCTTCATTAATAATTCATAATCTGTTTCTCCAAACCAAGGCTTCTTCCTTACTTTTTCTCAACTGATGTTACCACAATTCTCCTAAACACCTAGGCCTGGAGCAATGAAATCAGATCTTTGCCTTGTTCTCACTTTGCCATTCACATTCAGTCACTAGGTTTGTGGATATCTCCTCTACAAAATCTCTCACCGCCAGCCTTCATTTCTATTCCCACAGTTATTACTTTAATAGTGGTCATTATAATCTAACAACTGAATTATTGCAATCATCAGTTTATTGTAGATAAGAATTCAACTCTGGATGCAAATAAATCTGGGTTCAAGTTCTGGACCAGACGCTCCCTGGCTGTGTGACCTTGGACACGTTATTTTACATTTCCAAGCCTCATCTGAAAAACAGATATAGTAAATAACTACCTTTAGGGTGGTTAAAATAATCAAGATAATGCATACAAAGTGCTTAAATTATTTTAAGACTATTTTGCATAATCAATTTATTCCCTCTTTACTATGCTCGATAACTTATTTCAAGTTTCTCTAACTAAAATAAAGCAGCAACAACATCTTCTGTTCCAAATCAGACCCCCAGCATATAAGACAAATACCAAACACTTGGGCCTCTCATTCAAGGCCTTTTACTATCAGACCTTAAGTACCTTCGCATCCTACCTCCATTTCATTACTGTTCACTGTTCATATCATTCTTTTCCCCTTCATCTCTATCCCTTCTCGTCATCCAAAGGTGCAAACGTTTTAAGGCCTACTTCAAATACAGCGTCCTTCATAAATGTTTTCTTGATACTCAAACCCAAACTAGTCTCCTTCTCCACTAAACCCTGTAGTTGACACCTATTTCCCATGTGGTTTATACTGCAGAGTACATATTGCCAAGCTTGAACTTCTTCTTTCATATGTTTGTTTTATTTTTGTAGTTAAATGAGGATATCCTTTGTTTCCAAACCAAGGGACCACCTTACAGGTGCAATTGTCTTAGAACAAAGCCTTTTGATTCGTTAGTAACTAATTTCTTTTGGATGCAGTTCAAAACATACACATTTACCCCAAACACCTTGATTGATGAATTCTGGAAGAAAATATCTTTAAACAATATGAAGAACTTGGACCCGGAAGATTTTAGTGTCCTCGATGCTGGGTTGGCAGTAGCTGAAGTAAAGCCATCAGCGAATATCTCCGGCAGAAGCCCGTCCTCAAGGCAGCCTAGGATTCTTCTAGATGCCTGAAGAAGGTTCTTGAAAATAGAGCAAAGTTTCCTCGGCCTATGGCCATATGTCAATGGGTAGAGATAGAAGCTTCACCTCACAGGGGCAGAGACCAAGGAGTCCTGCCCACCTCACATGTTGGGGTACCAAAAGGAGGCAACCCCTTTGTAGACAACATCCATGGAGTTCCCATGGTATTCTTATTTCTGATAATTGAATTCATACCACAAAGCATGTTGTTCAAAGAGAGCCTTTTTATATACAATGAATCATAATGAATAAGAAATAAAAAAGGTACCAGTGTGTGAATGGATTCTATTTTATAAGATGAATTGTCCTTACCCTCCATGTCTTTCTTCCATCCTTACTAAGCAAGCCATCTGTTTTTCCCAGCCAAATTGAACAACAGAGTCTTTGTCCTGATCCATCTGACAAATATAAAGTCAAGTTCCTCATTCCCAGAAGCCACTGACAGTTGGGCCCAGAGCACCAGAGGGTAAGACAAATCAAAACCAGGGGTGTGCAGAGCAGTACCAGGAACCAAAAGAAAGTGGTGGTAGGCTCTTCTCAGAAACTGTGTCACAGTGGCAACAAAGGAACAATACAGGGAGGTCATTAGGAGACAAAGGTGCCAAAAGTCAAGAATCAAATATTCTAAGGAGGAGAAAGAAACAAGCTAATGAGAGGCGAAAGTGTTGGGAGTATCATCATCTTCATCATCATCTTCGTTATCGTCACGGTCTCCTCTCAGAACCCCATAACCCAGATGTGTTCTCAAATTCAGAATTTTTGGATTTTAGATACGTTAATTAATTTCAATGCAATAATATGTCTGCAGCAAATCATACTAAGTGGAATTAAACAGAGCTAGTAAATAGCCTCATATCAATTCAGGTCAGGCTTTGCCACCAAATGAGTTTTGACATCAATTTACAAACACATAAAACTTTTGTTTTTTAGAATTCAGGGGTCTTCAGAATTACAAATGAGACTGTGGACTAAGAGAACACTCATGGATTAAGAGAACACTTATGTATGAAGTCTGAACTTATAAAGTGTGTAAGGACCTCCACATACCTGGTGGATTGAATCTCGGATGACAGGCATCATCTCTACTGCAAAGTGAGGAAACCGAGCCCCCAGGAGGCTAACATCCTCACAGTCATCTCACACCTCGCTTATGACTTGAAACCACAGCTATCGGTAGGTAACAGGATTTGGATACAGGGATCTCACTATGTGTGTGTGTGTTTGTTTTTACTATACAGAGTCACATGACAAAGCCTTTCATGTGCAGTGAACCCAAATTTTGATGATGTGAATTTAATTTAAATATATTCTGGAATCTGTATTCATCTCACACTGCTGCTTTATTGGCATTGCCCTTGTTCTCTGATGTCTCTCCCTATTTTGGAATTCCTCCTTGTTGACTTTGGGTTGTAAACAGGGCCTCTTATTCTGATGTTGATCAGTCACACCAGTGACTCCATTTCCTTCTAATGACCAATTTCAGGGAATACATCTAAGGTTATTTAAAAAGTCACTTGATTCTACAATATCACTAGTAATTACGGGGTGTCGTGATGTCTGCAAAAGAGAATTTTGTTTAAAAAAAAAAAAACTAATTTTTTGAAATGGTAGAAGAAAAGGAGATTGTGTTGTCTTCCCTGTAGTCTGCAGATCATATTTGTGTGTAACTGTTACGGAAATACAATCAGACAATTGCGTGTCTACCCAAACGTGCAGGGGACAGCTTTACTGACAAACATCGCTGTTCCTGCACGTTAGCATCTTGCTCTTTCATCTGATACTCACTCCCTCTTGCAGCCACCGCTCTAAGCAGAATGCAGCTCCAGATAAAAAGTTCTGTGGTGTCATTAGAGCTATAGCCTTGGCTCTCACTCCTGGCACCAATCTAAGGGTGTCTCTCCTTCAGTCACTCTTCTGCAATGACCAGCTCAGGTGAGACCATGTAGGGAGAAACAGGAGAGCAGATGGAGGTGGGGGCAGAACCCACCCACCTTCACTACCTTCTCCCTTATGCCTACCTTACTGAGCTTTTTGGCCCATCGGTGACTTTACTTCTATAACCAGATACCATTCAGAGCAAATTTAAAAGCCGCAGATTCATCATCCAGAAGCTTTTCCAAGTTTCATGATGCTCAAACTCCTTCCCTCAAGTGGACAGCCCTTTTTGGAAAACAAATAGCTATTATCTGGGACTTGTTTTCCCCAAGTATTGGTTTTCCAGAATATAAATTGTTAAGTAACTTGTCACACCTATTTTCCTTTGAACTTGAATGGTCTGAGAAGTAAGTTGGTTTCTCACACTTAGACTTACCAGATGCAGTTTGAAGAGAGTATAGTGTAGTTAGGCTGGGGGGAGAAGAAGCAGCCCTCTCGCTAATGTGTGAAGATTTTCATTTGACTACTATTAATACTAATGAGGGTAATCTGCCAAAATCCTTGTGCACTAAAATGAAAATATATGCTTTGGTATAGAGGTTTCCTGTTACCCTGTTGATAATTCATTGTATGATGTGATCAACTTATACTATAATAATGGCACTTATACATCACACTTTGAAGATGCATTTTATTGACTTAATGTGAATATTATTGCCATCGTTTATTACAGAGAAGTATCTTGTAGTAATTGAAATACAATATGGTGTCATTAATCATCCTGAATACAAAATGTTAACTTAAAAATGGTCACACTGTATTAAATGCTCTTCTAACCATAAAGCAATTTGATTTGCAAGTCTGTAAAAAGCTGGATGGTCAGGATTTAGTGTAACTAGCACTTGGAACATATTTCTCTATTAGATTTCTCAACAGTTTGCTTTAACTGAAATAAGATTTATTGTTTTGTTTGGGTAGGTTTTCCCTGCCAATGTGTACTTCACTGGATAAATGATTGTCTGAAGTCATTTTCATACAACATGAGAACAGGACTGTTTCTTCATCTCTCTGGATTGACCCTGGGAACCAGTTAACTCCCTTATCTATATTTTCAATATTTAACATACCTGAACCCTAAATAAAGGAAGTGGTACTGTCACGACAACAACAACAACAATAAAACAACAACAACAAATCATTGAAAATGAGAAGGATGATTACAGATCTCTGCCCACACATCGTTCCAGTGTGTAGTTCCAAAAGCCCCATTTGTTAGCCAATACCGACTGCAATTTTATAGGTTAAATGATTTGGGGGTCTCATGTTTCTTTTCACACAGCTGAGTATATCTAATTACAAAAATTGCTTATAACTTGCAAACCACAGGTGTAGGTAGAAAAATGTCTTTTTTCTCTTTGGGCTGAGTGATACACAAAGGGAGAGGTGTTATTTGGTTTTGGATATAATCTTTATCTAACAAACATTTCAGTCCATCTTTAACTCGTTTTTTACATCATAAAATAATTCTTCAGTATATGATAGTTTATCTACATTATTAAATAATTCGACTTTAAAAAGCTGCTTTCTTTATTCTATTCATTTATAAAAGCAACCCAGTGAGTGGTATTTTCATATTTAAAAATTTGTACTGTAGTTCCATTTCCATTGAAAGTCTTTTTGTGGATTACAGAAGTAATACATGCTCATTATAGATAATCTGCAAAATACAAAGAAAAAAATTAAATCACCCATAATGCCTCCAGGCGAAATTTTCAAAGGCCCACATAACCATTTGAATGACTTAGAGATGTTTAAAACACTCCTTGAAGATTGTTTCCTTTCCTTTTTATTAGGAATAAACCGATAAGCAGTTTAGGACCCTCTGTGTGATGGGTAAACAGAATGTGATTCTATGTCACTTCAAATTCAACTTTTGTCAGTACTGTAGTACTTCTCTTCATAGGGACGTTTATTTTTGACCACTTTGCAAAGAGATTAAAATGAAAATGTATGAAGAGTCCCAGAAGGTAGCCTGCTTTGAAAAGCTGTTTACTTGCCTTAGGCATGATTTGAGAGGGTAAAGGTTAAGGATGAGTCACGAGAAAGCCCCACAGGCCCTCCATTCAGACCTGCTCAATAGTCTTTCATCTCTCTCTGTTTTTGTTGATACCAGCTGTGTCTACCTTAATCCTCTCTATGAGTTTACATCTTTTTTCTTAATAATCTATAAGCAACCCATAGAAAAGGGGCATGTGCTGACTAGAAAATAATGGTTGGGGGGCAGGTGACAGGAGGAAAAGGCAAAGAAAAAGAAATGTAATGGGTAGCAAATGCCTTTTTATAAAATGTCAGAGAAACCAACGGCATATTTGACAAGACTTGATTTGACTCAAAGCAACAGTGGAAGCTATGATTCTTAACTATTAACTAATACCTGAAACTAGGGGGTGTTAATATTCTAAAATTCTTATAAGATAATTCCCCAAATTATCTTTTTTTGTTAAGTGTAATAGATGACAAGTGTGTTTCATGATTTTGAAGGCTTTACTAATAAACTTTAAACACAATTAGCCTCATAGATTATATGTAGTGCTGGTATTTTGCATGTACATTTTCAATAAATAGCACTTAACTAGGATGTTCTGCCTCAATCCCCCCTTTTCTAAAACATAAAAGTAGGGGTGAAATGGCATTTTAAAGGATTTCTGAAACCTTCAGTATGTGAAGGGTGGGAAGCAGATGGTAGAAGGAAAATCAGTGCATCTTAGTCAAATCTCTTGATCAATAAGAATATGTGCATAGGATAAGAGAGAAAGAAAAGAAAGCAAGAACAAAGACAACAAAAGTCCTGAAAACACAGCCATGGCCGACAACCTGAAGAATCCAATTAAAAATATATTAATTGCTCAACATCTAGATTGGCACATTCATTGGTGGACAATGCCCGACTGTGGCCCCACCTGCAAAAGGCAGCAGGTTGGAGCCCTGTGTTGAGGTTTACAGAAAAAGCAGTGCTGATGCTGTGATCTACAAGGAAAAACAGGGCAACAAAAGCATCAAAGGCAGAGAATACCCTAGGCGACATCTACAGAATTTTCAGCATATAATTTCATTTCTCTTTTAAAGAGAAAAAAAAAATCTTTCATATGAACCAGCAAGATGGGGGTGGGGGTGGGGAAAGGAAGGAAGGGTCATCTCTCTAGAGAGACAGGAGCCCAGCCTGGAAGTGATGGGTAAGGCTGAGATACTGAGTGCTCTGCAGTAACCCGTGGCAACAGCCATTCCCAGAACAGCTGTCAAGCAGTGACTTAAATGGATGACCCAAGTGCTGGGTTTGTTTTCATTTGGTTGCTTGTTTTTTAACCCCGATATATGACTTTGAACACCAAGGGACTCTATTTTTTAGGGGGAAAAAAAAAAATAAGCTGGTAAATATTTTAGGTTCAGAATGCACCTTCTCTTAAGTACCTGGGGGAAACAATTTCACTTCGAGGAGCACCAAAGAGCTGGTTAATTCATTACCCTTAAAAGCCCAAATCCCAAAATTTAGTACATGCCTTGTGCGAGCACTATCATTCTAATTAATGCTTTCTGCCAGTTTTAAGAAAATAGTGCTGCAAGCACTATTTCTCCCCTCCAACCATAGTTTAGCAGAGGCACAGTACCTGGACCTGAGCCCTAACTCCTCCATCACTTATTAGGGATATAACTCAAGGCAACCATGGACCTGCTCCATACCTTGGTTTGTACATCTATAAAATGAGGGTAATCATAGGACCTACCTCCTAGAAAGGCTATAAAAATTAAATGGGTTAGTGTAGGTAAAGCACTTAGCACAGTTCATGGCTCATGATTAATGTCCAGTAAAAGTTAGCTAGCTATTATTAGCATATTTTATCAAATGCAAAATGCCATCCATTCTATGATACGGCATTATTTTATGTGCCACTAAGAAAAAAAAATTGATGTCAGTAGACTATTGCACAATGCTTTTTACTTGCAGTTTTTCTTTTGATACTTTTGCAAAAGTTCTTTCAAACTTATTAGATATGTATTTCATCATATATCACTTTTGTGCACACATTAAAAGGGAATTGTAAGTGAAATACTTTAAGGTATTCCTAAAACTCTTTAGCATTAGTGCCTGATCCTACTGAATTTCTTTTTGAATCATCAAAGTTCTATACCAAGACCACCAGGGAAAAATGCTGATCACACAGAACAGTGTTGATTAAACTTGCTAAGCAAGAGAAAGTACCACCTTGATAGAGTCTCAGCAGTGTTTTCAAAAGGGGGGCAGGGAAGGCTAGTTGTAGGGTTTAGGGCAATCTGTGAGGAGTCTTAGGGTGGTTTGAGGCAGAAGATAGTAAGTGAGGGCTTGGCAGGGATAGGTCAGAATTTGAAATGAGATGAGTTGCTGAAAGTCAGTGGTCTTACCTTGAAACGAATGGATTTGAACAAGCCGATGTTAATATACTTTAACCTTAGTTTGCTCTGCATAGTTTGGATAGTTAGTCTACTTTGCCAGTCATACTACAGTTTTGCAATCCGTGGCTTCTGTTTTATATCTGAACCACCGTCATCAATGTCCACATTTTCTACCCAATATCACGTTCTGTGCCATTGAGTGCACTGGTGATGCCGTGTCTCTTACTGCCTCCGGGATTTCCTTGGCAGTCGCTGGCCCCATTTGGAAAGTCTTGATGCTCATGTGTAGTATTGACAGCCACATCACAACTGCTACCCAATGATGGTAATTTTGATACGGCTTCTGGTTTCATAAATGACAAAAATGTGTAAAAAAAATGTGCATCTTAGAATCAATAAAATGCAGTAAAAATTTGATAATAAAATCTAATTCTCATCTTAGAGAGCAGAACCAACTACATATACTCCTATTAGAGAACTAACCAATTGTAGGAGATATATGGAAAGATGTATCGTAAAATTACAGCAAAATAATACTTATCCCCCTGTAGATAAGCCCTATACCCCCTCTGCGAGCCCAAAGGGGAGTTTTTATTGTTTATTTTATACTGATCCTTACAATTTTAGCATCCACTTTGTTTCCTCAACTTAACAATTCACTGCATTTTCAAGTCATTTTCTACTAAGAAGTTTCCTGGTAAGGGAAGAAATAATCAAAATCATGTAGACAAAAAATGTCCCATGTGTTTTTCCTGTGGAACTGCTGTGCCATGGAATGAACCTAGAAAAGATAAAGACACTCAAAGGTACATTTTTCAATTGGATTTTTAAAAATTGGATGAATTTGAACTTGGTTCTATTGTAACCTTTCAATGGCAAGAACAAAATGAACACAATGGCAACTCCCAAGAAGGTAAGTCCAGGAGCAAACAATCCATTAGGCCCCTGACCTTTGGATTCACTGTGATTTCCAAGAAATGGTGAGTTTGTGTCTGTGTGTGCCCATTCATATGCTGGGATGCAGAGGGAGAAAACTGAAAATATGTTTATAGATCTGTATTAGTATAATAGAGTATCAATCTCTGAAAGATACCCAAAATGTCAGGCATACGGGCAACAGCTATTACCACCTTATGACTGGTAGGGGTCAAGGATGAAATCTCATAATTACCAGAGTTCATGAAGCCCTTGTAAGGTCCCATACAGTGAGTGAATACATGTTGGGGCTCCAGCCCCTCCCACTCCTGATAGTAATTCAAATTAAAATAATACCGTCAGAAAATAAGTGTAAAGAAACCCAACAATTCTGAATTTCTCCATGACTATTTTGATACTTTCTTTGAGATATCAAATATCTGATTTTTTTTTTCTTTTTTAACAAAAGAAATGTGAGCTACACCTGCCTGGCTAATGTCCTGAGCATATGTTTCATCTGCCTGCTGGGTAATCCACACTGGGTGGTATCTGGGTTTGCTTCTGGATTTGGAAATGCTCTGGGCGTTAAGCTCTGCAGAATGGAGACATTCAAATAAAACCGTGCACCTTCTTGTGTTCATTGGTAACTAAAAATCCCTCACCTTTTCTAACCACATG